GCTCTCCCATTCAAGGTTTTAAGGGATCCCCCAGTAGCCCCACCCCATCACCCCCTTCTTCCAGCGACAGTCCCAGGCATTACATTCCCACCCCCTTTTCCTCACTGCCGGGAGGAGAAACTTCAGAAAGGATTACATGAAAGGTAATGGCCCCATTGTTATTGTTAGTCCTTTTGGTGATATCCACATCCAGTCCCTTGGAAGTATACTGAAGGAAGTGAGGGCCATAAAGCCCCTTTTTTTCACCCCCTTCCCTTCATCGTATGACAGAATCCAGAGAAAGGCAGAAATGGGGTTTTCCATAGTTGATAACTAGAGATGAAATATAATTGGATTCTGACACACTGGTTAGTTGTCCTCACTGTCAGGAAGTTTCTCCTTAGTTCCAGGTTGCTTCTCTCCTTGATGAGTTTCCATCTGTTGCTTCTTGTCCGGCCTTTAGGTGCCTTGGAAAATAGGTGGACCCCCTTCCTCTTCTTTATGGCAGCCCCTCAAATATTGGATCACTGCTATCAGGTCACCCCCCAACCCTAATTTTAACTCATTCCAGGCTAGACAAAATAGCAGAATAACAGAGCTGGGAGGGACCTTGGAGGTCTTCTAGTCCAACCCCCTGCTCAGGCAGGAGACCGTATAGCATTTCAGACAGAGGGGCTGTCTAAACTCTTCTTAAAAACCTGCAGTGTTGGAGCACCCACAACCTCTGGTGGCCAGCCGTTCCACTGGTTAATTGTCCTCGCTCTTAGGAAGTTTCTCCTAGTTCCAGGTTGCTTCTCTCCTGGATTGGTTTCCATCCGTTGCTTCTTCTCCTGCTTTGGAGAATGGAAGAAAACCAAGCAAGCCAATCTATTTGGGGAGGGGTGTCGGGAGTAGAAGAGCCCCCCCCAGCTTGGGAATTAACCTTTTTTTTATTGAAAAGTTTTATAAAAGTTACAATATAAACCCCAAAACCAACCCACCCTAACCCCCCCTCTCCCTCCCCCACTTCCCAGAGCTGAATACAGGGTTACAAATATAATAATCATAATCTAACTAACATTAACCAACTATATAAATAACCAAGTCCATAATGTGCTTTAACTCCCCTTTAACATAAATATAATAATCATAATTAAAACATAAACAAATTAGTATCCTAATTATTAAACAATAGAATATTGTTAAACAATACTAATACTAAAAATAATAATAATATCATATAATTAAAACTAATAAAAATTTCACTATAATAAACTGTTAATACTAATAATACTCTAAAATTTTCTCATAGGCTAAATGGAACTTTTTAGTCCCATATTTATTGTGAATATAATCTATCCATCTTCTCCAAACCGAAATGTATCTTTCTTGTGAGTGATCCTTCAAATAGGCAGAAATCTTGGCCATTTCTGCTAAATTTGACACTTTGAGCGTCCATTCTTCTATAGTAGCCAAGCAATCCTTCTTCCAATATTGCCCTACTAATAACCTTGCAGCTGTTATCAAATTCAACCTCAAGTTAGTTTCTTTAGCATCACAATCTGTAATAACACCCAACAAAAATAATTGTGGAGTGAACTTTTGAAAATCTTTCGAATGTTCCACCAAATCTTAATCCCAAAAGCTTTTATATTTCTACAAGTCCACCAAATCTGAAAATAAGGAGCGTCCAAGCTACCACATCTCCAACATTTGGGCTGTAAATTAGGATACATACAAGACAATGAAAGAAGTAATCTTTAACCAACCGCTGACCTTTCTAAGCCCCTCTCGTGATCACGAGAATTGCCCTCTTTGCGCCACTCTGCCGTGTCCTGGAATCCAGGCAGCTGCAGCCTTGACCTGCCTGCTCCCTCAGCAGGCCGCCTGCTAACCTTCACTCCTCCAGCGTGGAGACCTTTGGGGGTCTCCCACCCCACCCCTGTGGACAGAAGGGGCTTGGAGGCAGCCAGATCTGTCCTGGACACGGGGCAGGAGACGAGCCCTCTCCATCCACCCAATCCCGGCAGAGGTGTGAAGATTGCCTTGCAAGGGGTCACGCAGATGGAAGCCTGCAGAGCGGGGGAATCCCACGGGGGTCAAGGGGGTCCTGGATGAGAGGCATGGGCAGGGAGGGAGGGGGCAATCCTGGCCCAAGGAGAGGCTGAAAGCTTTTTGCTGCTAATCCTCCTTAATGGCCAGTCTTTGGCTCCTTGGCCTGTGGCTTTTTCTCTGCAGGTGTTTGAAGGGACCTCTGGCATCGATGCCCACAAGACGACTTGCGAGTTCACTGGGGACATCCTCCGCACGCCGGTGTCCGAGGACATGCTGGGTAGGTGGGACGCCTTTGGGGAGGGCACGGAGGGGCCGCCGTGAAGCACGAGGATCAAAGGTCGGCTCCGGTGATAGGAAAGTGCCCAGGTGTCCAGGAGAGAAGGAAGCCACCAGAGATGCTGAACAGAAGAACAAGAGTTGGGAGGGACCTTGGAGGTCTTCCGCAACCCCTTTTGGTCACCAGACTATAAAAAGGATGTTGAGACTCTAGAGAAAGTGTAGAGAGGAGCAACTAAGATGGCTAAAGGAGTGGAGGCTGAAACAGTTGCAGGAATTGAGTAGGTCTAGTAGTTTAATGAAAAGAAGGACCAGGGGGGACAGGATAGCAGGGTTCCAATATCTCAGGGGCTGCCCCAAAGAAGTTGTTCTCCAAAGCCCCTGAAGGCCAGACAAGGAATAACGGATGGAAACTGATCCAGGAGAGATTCAACCTGGAAATAAGGAGAAATTTTCCGACACAGAATAGAATAGAATAGAATAGAATAGAATAGAATAGAATAGAATAGAATAGAATAGAATAGATTCGCCGACACAGAATAGAATAGAATAGAATAGAATAGAATAGAATAGAGTAGAGTAGAGTAGAGTAGAGTAGAGTAGAGTAGAGTAGAGTAGAGTAGAGTAGAATAGAATAGAATAGAATAGAATAGAATAGAATAGATTCGCCGACACAGAATAGAATAGAATAGAATAGAATAGAAGGGACCTTGGAGGTAATCTAGTCCAACCCCTGCTTAGACAGGAAACCCTATGGAACAGAAGCTGCCTTCAGAAGTTGTGGGAGCTTCATCACTGGAAGCTTTCAAGAAGAAACTGGACAACCATTTGTCTGACATGATCTAGGGTTTCCTGTCTAAGCAGGGGGTTGGACTAGATCACCTCCAAGGTCCCTTCTATTCTATTCTATTCTATTCTATTCTATTCTATTCTATTCTATTCTATTCTATTCTATTCTATATTCTATATTCTATATTCTATATTCTATTCTATATTCTATATTCTATATTCTATATTCTATATTCTATATTCTATATTCTATTCTATATTCTATATTCTATATTCTATATTCTATTCTATTCTATATTCTATATTCTATTCTCTTCTATTCTATATTCTATATTCTATATTCTATATTCTATATTCTATATTCTATTCTATATTCTATATTCTATATTCTATATTCTATATTCTATATTCTATATTCTATTCTATATTCTATATTCTATTCTATTCTATATTCTATATTCTATATTCTATATTCTATATTCTATATTCTATATTCTATATTCTATATTCTATATTCTATATTCTATATTCTATATTCTATTCTATTCCATCCCTCTGCTTCTGGGGCAAGGAAGGGAGCGGACATCCGAAGCTGGTCTTCCCCACTGAGTCTGGACAAAGAGCGCTCAGGATCTTGGGGAAACCCCCCCCTCCGTGGAAAAGAAGAAGCTCTTGAATAGCGGCCTCGGTTCCCCAGATGTTTGTGGTGGGTTATTTGGGGGAAGGAGGGGGAGCTACCTGGCGTTGACTTCTAGGGATCTCCAAGTCAAGGGCTGGGGGAACCTGAGGACGGGGATGGAAATCTGAGCCCCCTCCCCGGCTCATTTTGACAGTGATGTGACCCAACATCTCCCCAGCCTTGCTCTTTTCCAGGAGAGCCTCTCCTGATGTGGGGTGACAGAAGGCACGCCATTGGAGAAAGGGCTGGAGAGATGTCCTTTTTTCCCTACTTTGGGAGAGGGGTGAAGACTTCTGTCTGGGGGCCCTTTTCCATGGCTCTGCTCTGCTGGGCCAGGTCATTCAGGGGTCTGCACAGGAAGCCCCCCACCACCACGGGGGTCTTCTGGCGTGACCTTCCTTGGATTCAGCTGTGCTCTGGGTGTCCCGTTGGAGGCAGAATTACAGAATAAAAGAGCTGGAAGGGATCTCGGAGGTCTTCTAGTCCAGCCCCCTGCTGAAGCAGGAGACCCTAACCCCTTTCAGACAAATGGCTGTCCAGTCTCTTCTTAAAAAACCCCACCCACAACTTCCGGAGGCAACTTCCGTTCCACTGATTAATTGTCCCCACTGTCAGGAAGTTCCTCCTTAGTTCCAGGTTGCTTCTCTCCTTGATTGGTTTCCACCCGTTGCTTCTTGTCCTGCCCACTGGTGCTTTGGAGAATAGCTTGACTCCCTCTTCTTTGGGGCAGCCCCTGAGATATTGGAAAGCTGCTATCCTGTCCCCCCTCGTCCTTCTCTTCATTAAACGTGTTGTTGTTTTTAGTTGCGAAGTCGTGTCCGACCCATCGCGACCCCATGGACCACGTTCCTCCAGGCCTTCCTGTCCTCTACCATCTTCTGGAGTCCATTGAAGCTCACGCCTCCTGCTTCAGTGACCCCATCCAGCCACCTCCTTCTCTGTCGTCCCCTTCTTCTCTTGCCCTCCATCTTTCCCAGCATTAGGCTCTTCTCCAGGGAGTCCTTCCTTCTCCTTAGGTGGCCAAAGGACTTGAGTTTCCACTTCAGGATCTGGCCTTCTAAAGAGCAGTCAGGGTTGATCTCCTCTAGGACTGACCGGTTGGATCGCCTTGCAGTCCAGGGGACTCACAGGAGTCTTCTCCAGCACCAGAGTTCAAAGGCCTCCATTCTTTGGCGCTCGGCCTTTCTTACGGTTCAAGTTTTCTTAATTAATTAAATTAATTAAACTAGACGTACCCAATTCCAGCAGCCGTTCCTTATATGTTTCAGCCTCCAGTCCCCTGGTCATCTTTGTTGCTCTTCTCTGCACTCTTTCTAGAGTCTCAACATCTTTTTTACATGGTGGTGACCCAAACTGGACACAAGAGTCCAAGTGTGGTTTTACCAAGGCTTTCCAAAGCGGTACTAACTCTTCACGTGATCTGGGTTCCGTCCTTCTGTTCCTGCAGCCGAAGATCTTGAAGCATCCAACGGCTTCTTGAAGGACATTCCTTCAGCTGAGTTTAGTTAGGAGGATACTGGGCACCTGTTCAGGTTCTCCCAGCACTGTTCACGGTGGACCCTTCCTCTCTTGGGCCCCCCCACCCAACATCCTTCCCCCCCAGTTTCTGGGCCTTCCTCCCCACGGTTGCTTCTCTTTGCAGGCCGCGTCTTCAACGGTTCGGCCAAGCCCATCGACAAAGGCCCCGTGGTGATGGCCGAGGACTTCCTGGACATTAACGGTGAGGCCCCGTGGTTGGGTTGGGTAGGGTGGCAAGGGGAGGGGGCACAGGGCACGCTGGAGGCAGTGCATCGTGGGGAAGCCCAAGGGCTGAGGGGGGGGGACATTAAACTGAGTGGAGGTGAAACCCACAGCTGGGACGTCTTCGTTTGCCCAACTCAAAGGTGGAAGAAGGGAGCGTGAGTGTAAAAGAACTACTGATTGGTCTTGATTTTAAGGAAATCCATGCCTTTCCTCTTTTGATCTGGCAAAAGCTTTTCAGAAGCAGATGAACCCAATGGTGGGGTCAGGAGTGGGCCAAGCGACATCCCTTTGGGAAATTAAATGTTGTTTTTAGTCCTTCAGAAACTGATTTACACTGGGATAATTCCTTCCTTCCTCCCTCCCTCTCTTTTCCTTCCTTCCTTCCTTTCTTCCTTCCTTCCTTCCTTCCTCCCTCCCCTTTCTTTTTTTCCTTCCTTCCTTCCTTCCTTCCTCTCATTTCCATCTCCTCTCCTTTCTTCCTCTCTCCCTCTCTTTCTTTTTCTTTCTTTCTTTCTTTCTTTCTTTCTTTCTTTCTTTCTTTCTTTCCTTCCTTCCTTCCTTCCTTCCTTCTTTTTCTATCTATCTATCTATCTATCTATCTATCTATCTATCTATCTATCTATCTATCTATCTATCTATCATCTTTTTCTATTTCTTTCTTTCTTCCTCCCTCCCTCCTTTCCTTCCTTCCTTCCTTCCTTCCTTCCTATTTCCATCTCCTTCCTTCCCACCTCCCTCCCTTCCTCCCTCCTTCCTTCCTCCCTCTCATTTCCATCTCCTCCCTCCCTCCCTTCTTTCTTTCTTTCTTTCTTTCTATCTTTCTTTCTTCCTTCCTTCCTTCCTTCCTCCCTCCTTCCTCTCTCATTTCCATCTCCTCCCTCCCTTCTTTCTTTCTTTCTTCCTTCCTTCCTTCCTCCCTCCTTCCTTCCTTCCTCCCTCTCATTTCCATCTCCTCCCTCCCTCCCTTCTTTCTTTCTTTCTATCTTTCTTTCTTCCTTCCTTCCTTCCTCCCTCCTTCCTTCCTTCCTTCCTTCCTTCCTTCCTTCCTCCCTCCCTCCCTCCCTCCCTCCCTCCCTTCCTTCTCCAGGGCAGCCCATCAATCCTCAGGGACGCATTTACCCCGAGGAGATGATCCAGACGGGACTCTCCCCCATCGACGTCATGAACAGCATCGCCAGAGGACAGAAGATCCCCATCTTCTCGGCTGCTGGCCTCCCCCACAACGAGGTACGGCCCTCGCAAGCCCCCTCCTCAGTTCTCCTCCATCGGCTGGGAGCAGTGGGGGGGGGGCTCTTATTCTGATGATCTTTTGTGCCAGACTTTTTCATTCTTTGGGAATGTGCAAAAGTCTCACGCCGGGGGTGGGGACCCCTTTGGAAAGTAGGGGTGCAGGAGAGCAAACGAAACCCCGACTTGGAAGCAGCCCCACAGGAAGTCCTAGTAGGGCCTGGGACCTCTTCAATTCTAGAATACTCTGGAAAGAGCGCAGAGGAGAGCAGCAAAGATGATGGGGGGGGGGGTCATGTTGGGCAGACGTTTCATGACCCAGCTATGTAACAGCATCGGTGCTAGGAGGGAGGGGCTTGCCCTGTCATTCTTAGTAGAAAGGATCTTGGTGGTTTCTTAAAGCAGGAAGAATAAGTCATTGGTAGATCAAATGAGAGTAAACCCCCCTCCCTTCTAGCACTGATGTTGTTGTCTAGTTGGGTCATGAAACGTCTCTGGAAGAAAACAGCCAAGCTCAGAGAGCACCAAGGGCCCCACAGTCCTCCTCCTCCTCCTCCTCCTCCTCCTCCTCCTCCTCCTCCTCCTCTCCGCAAACCTCACTCCCTTCTAGCATTGATGATGTTCCCTAGTTGGGTCATGAAACATCTGCAAGAAAACAACCAGGCTCAGAGAGCATCAAGGACCCCATAGTTGTTGTTGTTGTTGTTGTTGTTGTTGTTGTCGTCCTCCTCCTCCTCCTCTCCACAAACCTCACTCCCTTCTAGCACTGATGATGTTCCCTAGTAGAGTAATGAAACATCTGCAAGAAAACAACCAGGCTCAGAGAGCATCAAGGACCCCATAGTTGTTGTTGTTGTTGTTGTTGTTGTCGTCCTCCTCCTCCTCCTCCTCCTCCTCCTCCTCCTCCTCCTC